GAATGGAGAAGGAGGCAGATCTCACTTTTCGCCGTTTCGTCGAACAGGACTTCATTATTGGCACACTTGCTCAGACGACTTGACAGAAACTGAGGCTCCAGAAGTCAGACTTGCTTGTGTCTACTTTTTCACCAGTTCCAGATGTCTCCAGTTGAGGGGGAGGTGCACTGTTTGCTGTACATTGTTGCCAACAGCGAGAGTGAAGTCACGCAGGATGAATTGAAGGAAAGACTTGATTTTGCCATTAAACTGAAGCCGGTCATATATTCAAACAAAGGAGGAAAGACACTTTTCGATTCGTCCAAGTCTCGACAGTACTCTCGGCGGGACTCTAACCCATGAAACATGAGGGCTTCAGAGGCTCAGGCTCATCTAAGCTCAATGCATGTTGGCCGAACTCGGTCAGAGTTATTTTCGTATTGGAGTAGAGTTTCGAGACTACCAGTAAATCAGTAATATGAGATGTATTCACCCTATTTCGTGTAAGGTGATGAAGGACTAATAGTAGAATTTTCCCACAAAGATATGAGTTGGGCTGACGTTTTCATTGAATTTCACATAGCCTTAAAGGCTATGGAAACATCAGCTCAACTCATATCTTTGTGGGAAAATTCTACTACCAGTCCTTCATCACCTTAGACAAAATATGATCAGAGTTATTGACAGGATTATTCTAAAAAAATACCTCAAGTGGTGTGTCTGATGTGCAACCCGACTCTAGCTTGCTCTTGTCTTCACATGCATGAGGTGGGATATTCGATATCTGCCGATCTGCATCGCATGGGCTCGGGGCTTTCTGCCTCTTTTTGATGTATGCCTATTCGCTATAGTTCGTTGTGATTGGTCTGTCCGAGTGGTCGAGCTGTCAGAAAGGGGAGAACGGAGTTGAGTTGTCCTTATTAAAGGTGACCGAACCCAGACAAACTGGGACTACTTGAAGAAAAGTCGGGTTCCAACGAGTTTTTCGAGCTAACTTCCATTTTGAAGGAATATTTGTGTGTGTGTGTGCGTCTCGTTGCAGGAACTCGGAGGTTGATGCCACCAAGTGACGACGGTAGAGTCCTCTGAACCACCAGTCGACTGGACTTACTTGCATGTTCTGGTTGGCGCTGCTTCCGATGCATTCTCCCCAATTCCGAGGGAGATGTGGAAGCTATCTTGATTGATTCTAACCTGTTTTGATGTTGTTCATCCAATGACAGACGAGGGCTTAGCACGTCTGCAACGGAATCAAGAGATAAAAGGTCAACAAGAGTGTTTCACTGGTGCCAATCGACGTCTGATGGGTTCGACCTTTGAGTCTCTTCAACGAAAAAACACACATACACACTAACACTCAAAATGGAGATGAGTTCGTCAGATTGGAAGCAGATCTGAAGATTGTGGATGAATGAACTTGCTTCGCAGCAGGCCGGCCGGCGGTTGTGTAGGTGTCGGGGTACCGGAGCCTAGAAGGCCGGTTTGAAAAGCGTTGTAGTTGTCCCGGCTTCTTCGGGTCGACCCAAACGTCCAGGCTGGTATGACTTTCGATTTTGGCATTGCGAGAGAATTGTTGAGCTTACTTCCATTTCGAGGGAAAGTGTTGGGTGAAGAGATTCGAAGGTCGGTTCCATCAGAAGACGACGGCGCATTCCTTTTGACCAGCTGTCGATTGGCTTTACTGGAAGAATTATGCTGACGCTGTTTCCGAGGCAATCTCCTTCGATTCCGGTGGAAGGGTGCTAAGCTTTTGTCCGTCAAATGACGGACATCGTCACAACAAAATTCAAGCTAACGAGTCAAGAAAACTCTCGTTAGCTTGAATTTTGTTGTGAAGATGTTACCTCGCTCTGATGATGTTCCTCACATGACGGACGAAAGCTTAGCACCTTGTCACCGGAATCGAAGAAGATTGCCTCGAAAATAGCGTCAGCATGAATGTTCCAGTCAAGCCAATCGACAGCTGGTCAAGAGGTTTCCGCCGTCGTCTTCTGGTGGAACCGACCTTCGAATCTCTTCACGCAACACTTTCACTCGAAATGGAAGT